TAACTACTTTCAATAGCAAGTTCAGCTGGTGGTTTTAAGAAAGGCAGTTTTGAACTGGTAAGGATATTTCCTTGAAACTTGAAGCCTAGAAAGAGGTAAGTATTTTGTTAAAATAGTAGGTACATGAATCTATTGACAGCTCAAGACAGGATAAAAATCCTTAAAACCGGACAACAAAGCTTAGAAGAAAAGCAGCAATATCTTAGTCAAGTCACAGAGTGCTGTTTCATCAGTTCAGACTCATGTACTTAATCTTTCTTCTGTTCCTGTTGAGGTATGATCTTCCAGATTGAACTCTGGGATATAATACTCAACTCCAGACTTTGTCCCTACCATTAAGTTGCCCATTTTCTTAGGTTTTAAACTCTTATTTCTGTGTGTAGGATTATGGTTCTTGAAGTTTGAGGACATAGGAAAGAAGCTTACATGGAGATGGACTTCAGAATTCATCTTCAAATAGCATTAATTTCAAATCATATAAAAATACATTGATGAAACATTTCCCCACATATGTTTTCTCCAACAACTGAAAATAAAGTGCAGCATTCTCAGTTCTGTGTTTTAACTGTCTTTGATAGTAGGATGAAAGAACAGAATTGAAAGTTGAAAAGCACCAACCTCAACCATTACAAAGTGGCATTATTAGAGGTTATGGGGTATTCCTTTGGTAGGCACATGCTATTGTTTGTCCAACTTGCTTTGTTTTGAAAAGTGAATCTTTCACCCATAGCTGTTGTGTATGCGTGTTTACCAAATTCAAAAGCACAAGGTTCTATGGTGAAACTGAAATATTAAAGGATATAGAAACATGGAAAATGGTTATAGATACCAGATACAGTGTGGGAAGAGGTTGGGGGAAGGAGTGTGTGAGGAAAGACATTAAGGAGAAAATAGAGATGCAAGATGTTATGGGGCACAAAAATGGATTATTATCTGTTGATGATAACATGATAATCATAGTATAGTATCCGCAACTGGACTGGTATGAAATGTATTAATGTTGAAAAATTCACTTTTCAAGCTAAGTGATGTACAGTGATTGAATGTATAAAAAAATTAAATTGAAATAAAATACACTAAAAATAAAAATTAAAAGAAAAAGAGCACAAAGTTCCACCAATGGAACCTTGTAGGGAGAATTGGCTGTGATGTAATAGAGCCTTGCAGAAAACTTCTAAAAGTGAGATTTAGCCAAAACAGAGACTAAACAAGAAAGATGCTTACTGAATAAGGTGGGATCCAACAAGAATGTAGTACATAATGCAATAATATATGAATTTTTTTTCTGAAGGGGTTCAACAGAACTACATTAATGAAAGGCAAAGGCTTAACCACCTGGTACATTTATGATTCTTGATGATTAATTACCTGAGGATTAAAAATTTGATTCACCAGTCTTACAAATGGAAGAAAGCGATGAACCAGATCAGTCTATCTCAGCAGGGAGGCAAGAAATGCGAAAGAGAAGACGACCAAGCCAACCAATGGTAGACAAATCCCAGCAGACCGATGTGACAGAGAAAAAGAAACACATGATCATGCCGCAGTCTTCTGCCCCTAAAGCTACCCTTAGTATTGGTAATATTCTTGGAAGCAAAGGCAACTACTCTGCCAAAGAATATGAGTCTCATAGAGTATCTTCTCAACTTCAACAAACTTGGACCAAGAGAAAGCGTGGACAGGAAATGACCGATAAATCTCTGCAAACAGACACCAATGAAGAAGAGAAAAAAGAAGTCAAGTTAGGTGATGAAATGGTGGCACCTGAAGAAAAGGCAGCTGGCATTGAAGGAGCTTCTGAAGTGCCAGAGAGTGTTCAGGAAGTGGAAATTCCAGTAAGTAGACACTCAATTCAACTAAAAATAGACAGATCTCAGCAAACCAGTTGCACTGGAGACTGGACCATGATGAACATTCCCCAAGTAGAAAAACTGGACAAAGAACAACAAACATATTTTAGTAAATCAGAAATAGTGGCTATTTGTAGGCCAGGTAGTTCTTTCATAGAGTCAAAGGAAGGTGTCCAGAAACAGAAATCCTCAGGAAACATTTTTGTTAGTGAACATCCTGAATTTCAACCAGCATCAAGTAGCAATGAAGAAATTAGGCAGAAACTTAGCAGCAGAACTTCTTTTACTCATGAAACTCAAAAAGATTCTTCTGTAGTTTTACAAGATGAGCCTAGGCAAGAGGGGGATTCTGTTGAAACAGAACCTTTACCAATAGAAAAAGTGCCTGCTGAAAAACAGTCTCCCACTGCACAGGAGACTCATGCTGAAGTACAACCTCTACCATCTGAAGAGGCCACTGCAGAACTAGAGCCCAACCCTACTGAGGAGACCCATGTCCAAGTAGAGCCTCCATCAGAAGGGACTTTTGCAGCTGAGGAAGCCACTGCAGCTTCAGAGACCTCTGTTGAAATCCAGCCTCCACCAGCTGAAGAGTATCCTTCCAAAGAGCCTCCTTCTGAAATTCAGCCATCACCAGCTGAAGAGGCTGCTTCAGAAGAGCCTTTTGCTGAAAGCCAGCCTCCACCAACTGAAGAATCCCCTTCAGAAGTAC